CTTCTACAACCTTTCCTTACAACTCCAAGTCAACCTTTGGAAGCTTTGCTCCTTTTGTTCCTATGGATTAGGTTTGGAGAAGAAAGCAAAGGCCTCTGTAGAGGAGGAATCTCAGTACATGGAGTAAGAAGTGACCTGTTTATTATTTCTCTTCCTTTCCCTTCTTCAGTAATTTTGCTCACTTTTTTGATCCTCCTCTCCTTTTCTTTCCCCCTTTCTTTTGCTTTATCATAAGGTGGGGATGAAGAAGATGGCTCAGTAGGGGGACTTGGGAGGTGTTATGTTGTGTTCCACTTTGTGTCATGCATTAATCCTCACCCGCATCATGAAATTTGTGTATGCAATTCTTTTGTGCTTTCTAACATTCTCTTGGGTGCATAAACAATGTCCTTAAATCCTGTGTTAGGGATGGGTTTTAGACTGCACAGGTTAATTGTGAGAGAATGGTTCCTAATTAAATGCCCTACCATGCTCAATATCTTTGTCCTCTCCAAAGCCCACTTTTCCCACATACTGCTTTTTTCCTTTGAACTCTTTCCTGGAAGCAGCACTCCTCTCGCTTGTCTTCATCCTCTCACCAATATTCCTCTCCAACATGTGGCCTCCCACGCTTTCTTCTTCCTTCTTTTGGTGAGTTGTGAGGGTTCCAATCACACACTTTTGGCAGCTCCAAAGTTCTTACTGGGGAGTCGAACCTGAAGAAACCTGGAGGTCGCAAAGAGTTACCATCCGAAAAGGACAAAGTATGTTATGTGCCCCCATCCCATGGCCACGAGTTGTAGAGACATAAGGGTGGTAATGACTCCTCGATCAGCTCGTGTTAAAGAGTTACAAGTTGAGATTTCATGGTCATTGAGTTTTCCTAGATGAAGTATCACTAGTAGAATTAAGAGCCATAGCACCATTAGGTTTTCCCTCCAGGCTTCCTTCCCCTTCATTCATTCATCTTAGAACCATCTTGCACGATATACAAGTCGTAGCTTGAGCATTTATGCAGAAACATTATGGTTCGGTGATGTCAAACAAAGGTGATTAAATGTTGATCGAGTCAATTTTCTGAATCTGACTTGAGCTATTTGTAATCATGATGGCTCAATCATTCTCACATGTATGGAAGAACATATGTGTTCCTGTGCATCATCATTCGTTGGACTGCTTTGATGTAAACACCCCTTCTTCGTTTTCTTTCCCCCGCACTAGATTTGGCAGAAAGAAGCCATGCCTACAAGGTTTTTTATGGGAGAGCTACGGGATTCTTTGATATATAGCGTAGGGAAATAATGATGCTGATCTCGAGAATCACACGAACAGTGTAGCTGAGAGGTAGGAGAAGAAAAGGCAAAAGAGGAGGGAATGGTGGGGTCTCGCGTGCCTGCCGTCCGCTGGCTGAACTGATAGAAGAAATGAACACGTTGACCCTATCTATCAACCGGAACAGCTCTGCTGTGTTCTCGGTCGATGCTCGTCTCCAACACACGCACGCAGACGGACACATGTCCGATCGTAATCATTCCACCACCCCTTTCTTCCTCCCATTCCCACCCCTTCTCTCATTGCTCGTTTCCAGCTTCTAGTTGATGCTGCAGTCTCGGACGTCATGCGCTCATCACAGGCGTGTCATCAGTCCCCGTTAGCTGCTACTCCGTTACCATTACCTGCGCTGCAACAAGATGAGACGTAATGCAACATATTAGTAGGCATCGCTTTACCGATCATGATGATATGCTTCGAAAGATGTGATTCTATTGCTGCACTTTGTTTGATGTTTGTTAGTGCCAGCAAACAACAGCATTTATCCATAACCTACATATGGTTAATCTCTGTAGCTTCTTCTTCTTCTTATAGACTGAAAAGACTCAATCCAGAGAGAGAGAGAGAGCGAGAAGGAATTGTGATTGTTACGTAAGGTGATAATTACACACCAAAAGGACCACAGTATGGCTCTTTCTTCATCTTTTCTTAAGCAGATCTCTTCATCGATCTATCAACAACACTTTCCTTCCATGCGTCTGTCCCCGACCCTACACCTTTCGTGTTGGGTTTTCCATTTAAAATCTGAAGGCGTGCTCGTCATTGGAGCGGACAGAGGACGGATTAAGGCTGACTTTTGTACTGCCACTTTGTTCTCTAGCACTTGAGAGCTTCTTGACCTCAAAGCATCATCACATCCGAGTCTACACGAAGTCTTCATTAATCCATCTTTCCGGGTAACTCTTTCTCCTCGTTAATGATGCCTTTTCCTTGAATACTGATGTAAGGTTTTGATGTTTAGCTACGGATCATGAGCTGACTTCCTCAGGATCAACGGTGATATGATTGGTGATGATGACCTGCAAGTCACGGATGGCTCCAAGGAAAAATCTTATCAGGCAATAGTCATGTTGGAGTCAGCTACGAGTTTTTCATCAGCCAGCCAGCCAGCCAGCCAGCCAGCGTAGAACTTAGGGTTTGTGCTCCTGACAGGGCTGATTCTAATGATGCCCACCGAGACCTGCGCAAATCTCAAAGCAGATAAAACTCTGGGAATTGGAGGGGACAAAGAGAAGGACGTGGTGGAATGCATGTTGGCTCCACCAAATGGCATGCGATCTGCCATGTCTGCCGAAAGTAATAGCTGATGGTAACACGACGAGACGTGGTTGTTCGTTTGACATGTTTCCTACACATAGCGTTGTTATGTGGCCATTCTTGAGATGGCGATTAGATTGTGTTGCTATTTATTTGAGACTATGAGGTACATGCTATGAATTTGGCATTGCCTTGGTTGGCTAAATGAATATAAATATCAATTTTAGGCTTTTACGGTTTGTGTGTCTTATTTTTCATTTTTCTCGATCAATGTCACATCGGCCCAAAAGTACTTTTTTGGCCCATTTCGAAGTAAGGTAAATAGAAGGCCCGATAAAAGCCCAACAAGGCTCCAAACATACGGGCCACATAGGCTCAACCCGAGCTCGGGGCCCACTGGAAATCAGAAATCGTGACCAAATCTGACGAGCAGTCATTGACCCAATCCGAGACCAGACACAGAAATTGCAACCTACATCGGGCCCAAATTGAGGCTCAGCGATAGGCCCATTCTTAAGCCCGATCAACGAACCATGAATTGCTTCGGCCCAATCGATGAACCTAACAAAGCCTTGTCTCATATGAATGATGGGAGAAGCCACTGCTACCGCCGCATGGGTGCCTCTGCTTCTCAACCCGCCTACAAGGAGGCCACCTTCCTTCCACCTGCGCAATTCAACAAACACTTGGTGCTCCTATGGGATAGCCCAGATCTTCCTCCAGATTGCGCTGCCCACCATCGGTAAGTCCATCCATCGCACCGCCGATCTCCATTATTGAATCCGTAGCATACGCACGCCATCGAATCCTTGGCTTCGCCGTGCCTTCTCTTGTTCGACCACGGTGTCTTCTCTGCTTTGTTTGCCATAAGGACGGGCAAAAAGAGGGTAGCCGGCGAGTTTATCGTTGTGGGACCCAATGGATCCCACCGCACGGATGGTGGGCCCACAGCGAGGGGGCAGAGAGCATCAAATGGGGAGATGAGCATGTGTTTCCGTTTTGGGGGCCAATGTTTCAAGAGAACATTTGCAAAAGTTTTTCCTCTTCTGATATGACAGTATCAAATTAAATCAAAAGTCTTATATTAGAGAGATTGTATTCATAATTAAAAGATAATTATTATATCTGAGTGTTGAATAATTACATGTTGCTTTAATAAATAATAAAATAATTAATATAGTGATATGAAGAGAGGTCAAAAAAAATTAAAATTAAAAATTAACTAAAAAAATAATTCTTTACAGATTTATGCAGCCTACCCTAAAAATATTGTTCTTCACTTTTGCATGCAGTAGCGGCACACTCGACAGCTTAAACATGCTAATACTGTATACTTTTGGAGATTTGAGATCTGGTAGCACTGTGAGCACCAATTTAGATTTCAGCTGTCGATGAGCACCTAATACAATAATAATAATCCATGATATGACCATAATACTTCCAAGTAAGCCTACGAGAATTTTTGAGTTGCAATCCCTCATTCCAATAAATTAATGGCTCGATCGATGCGAACCGTACAATCTCAGCCGTCGGATTCGATATGTTTACCGACATCCTTATGCTTTAATCGAGGTTATGTCGGGCGTAAAGCTTCTTTTTATGCCGACAATTATACATTAATGCCCTGCTTTAAATTATGATTAGCATGCTTTTAGGCCTAATGATTTCCCCTCGTGTTGCTGCAAATGGCTCCACTGATAGACCAGCTAGCTTAGAGCAGCCACTCTTTGTGCTAATCGATTAGGCCAACCTAAACACAAGCAATTAATTGATGGATCACATTGTCAACTAATAACACATTTTTAAATCACAAGTATATGCCAAAAGAGGAGAAGAAGATTTTGGAGTGGTATTGGCTTATATATTTTGATTTTCTTTCGATTACATAAATCCCTGATTTTGGTGTGTTTTTATCCTAATTAAACTTTGGAATCCTCCTCTTTAAATCTCACTTCTTTTCCACATTCTTTTGGTCTTCTATGTGGAAAAAAAAATTCTTGCTCAGATCTGATATGCTTCCCTTTTTCACTTTCTTAGCTTTTATCACAAATATTTGTCCTCCCTTTTTGTTAACAGAGGGATAGGATGTCATGTATTTTGTGTCATAAAATAAGAAAAAGGAGAAAAAGTCATCTGAGATACTGCCGGAAACTTACAGAGAGTTGTCGGTAGATTGCTTCATCAATAAAATATTACTGTTTCAACTCTGTTTTGTAATAGTATTATCATTATTATTATATTTTCATGAAGTTCCTTCTTCTATCTATTCCATTTATAGGACAAGTTGTGCTGCTGAGAAGTAAAGCAGATGATGATGGATCGAAGGTTTTAGATAATTTTGATCTAAAGATCTTTTTAGGCTTGTCTAGAAATGATATTTGATGTATAAATAAACATTATTATTATTATTGGTATTTTGTGTATACAAAGTGTGGAAAAGTATTGAAGCCAACCAGCACAAGCTTTAGATTTCCTTCTCGCCTTCATCTTTATTTCCTTCTCACCTTCACACCACTTGGGATATTCCATCAGCTCACGCTCACCACACTCGCACTCTTTCTTGCTCTGTTCCTGTTCGCAAGCTCATCACTTTTAACGGTCGCTGGTGCTCCTCGAGGAAGTTAATGTCACCACCTCTCGAGCATGATTACATAGGCCTGTCGGAGCTCCCCTTCTCTGCTGCAGCCGCTGCCGGCGCAGCCGAGGATGGGGCGCTTAACCTGAAGGAGACGGAGCTGCGGCTGGGCCTCCCCGGATCGGAGTCCCCCGACCGGAAGGAGAAGGTGGGCCTCACTCTGGGGCTCCTTCCCAAGGTGTTCGGCTCCGGTGCCAAGCGCGGGTTCTCCGACGCCATCGACGGGGCCGGGAAGTGGGAACTCACCTCCGGGGGATGTGGATCCGAGGTGGAAGGCGGGAAAGGTGGCGCCTTGTTCTCGCCGAGGGGGGAGGACGGCGGCGGGCAGCTGTCCGGGCACGGGAACGCTGGCAAAGATGTGGCGCCGAAGGCAGACGGGCAGGAGAGGAAGGCCGCTGGACAGGTTGGGAACTCCGCTGGGAATGATCGCGGCGTGGCGCCTGCTGCCAAGTAAGTGCTTCCAACTTGTTGGAGTTTCTCGGATTGCAAGAAAGCTAGAATTTTGAGCGGAAATTTGTAATCTTTTTATTCCTCCTCAGCATTTGGTGAGTGCTTTTCTTAGAAGTATGTTTGATTTGTTCAAACTTCTAGGATGGTGATGCTTTTTCTCTTAAATATGTCTCTTTTAATTATGTGTCTCTTAAATACATCAAAAAATGGAGAACGAGAAAAAAAAGACAAAAACTAATTTTCGGCTGTAGATTCTATGAACCATTTTGTCCACAGGCTTTGTTTGCCGTGGGTAAGAGTTCTTTCATTTGTAAACCCAAGCAATCCTCGATTTCCAGTTTCGCTATATTGTTTGATCTTGCTGACCTTCTTTTCACAATCGTCTTATGTAATCGAACTTTATTTTCCTCTTTTTAGTTTGATTTGCTACTCACTGACTCAACACGATGATCCTGGTGCTAGATTAAACTGCATACAGTTTCTTTTATGTTTAGCTGACAATTCATCTGTTTGTCACAGATTTGTGCGGAAAAAGAGGGATTTCATTTTGTATTGCTTTTCTGCTGGTTCAGGAATCATAGAAGTCTTTTATTGTTTTATTATTTCTTGTTCTATGGATTGCATCAACTAAAAACCTTAGATTGCTTCCTCTTTTGCTGTTATATTTTAGGAGTGTACAAACTTTGTTGATTTTAGGAGTTTATGAGCTATGATTAACTATGCTGCCTTTTAAATTTGCCTCCTTGAGCTTTGAAGGATCACAAAATTTCCATATCGGGAACAAGATTCAACTTGGCTAATTTTTTCAGATCTCATTCGCATGTCTAACAATGTGAATAAACTGTAACAGGGCACAGGTGGTAGGTTGGCCACCAATCCGTAGCTACCGTAAAAACACGATGGCTACAAACCCATCAAAGGACAAAGAAGATGCTGATGAAAAACAAGGTCCAGGATGTCTTTACGTTAAGGTCAGCATGGATGGAGCACCGTACCTCCGGAAAGTCGACCTAAAAGCATACAACAACTATAAGGAGCTCTCCTCGGCACTCGAGAAGATGTTTAGCTGCTTCACCATCGGTGAGCTCTGGCTTTTCTTCACTATTTTTTGTAATAAGTCAGAAAATATTCATGTCTTTGCAATCAGTTTGCCTTAATTGATTTCTCACTATTTTGAACTCATTCTTTTATTGTGATATACATGAAAGAAGGATTATTCTTTGCCTTCAGCTCTGCAATCTTCGTTGTTATTTTTCTCTAGCGCCATTTGGTTATGCATAAAAAAAAATGGAGTTAGATAGCCCATGATAATTTTGTATGGTTGTCTTCTTTTCACGATATGTACATATGGGAATTTAGGATCATATATTTATGTTCCATTCTCCTGAGTGATAATTGAATGCAGTACACAAGTAGGGGTTTTTTACGTTTCACTGTTTTTCCTTTTGAGTTGGAATTCTCTCCAATTCTCTTACTGATTCAATTTTAATCAGACTGTTTGTATTTTAAATAGAAGATTAGATCCCTGCCAGATGAGATCTATATGTGGATGGCTGATGTGGGATTTGGATAGTTCTATTTAAAAGGCACCGTTTGAGAGGATCCACAACCTTTTCTATATTGTTTAAGAAATTTAGTTCAAATATATCCCTGATGTTTTGGCAGTATTCTTCAAATCAAATTGTGTTAATTCTTATTACTGAAGTAGAATTATTAATCTTTCTTCTTTCTTCTTGAGTTGAAAATTATAATTAAGATTGTATCGGCATGTGGTGGAGTTTACTTGTGTTTATAATTGGTGCTACTCCAGGTCAGTGTGGTTCTCATGGAATACCAGGCCGAGATGGATTATCTGAGAGCAGGTTGACGGATCTTCTGAATGGATCTGAATATGTGCTCACTTATGAAGACAAGGATGGTGACTGGATGCTTGTCGGCGATGTACCATGGGAGTAAGTAAAGAAAATACCTGGTGTCGTTGGCTATAGTCAAAAGCTGTGTGTGAGCTTCTATTATTATTGCAAAATTTCCCTTTTTTCTGTATATTTTATTGGTGACTACTAACTTTAGATAAATGTAATTTGCAAAACATAATATGCATACGTATAAAATAGCACCCAGCGTTGATTATGGTAATTTAATGAACTTGTTCTTTTAGCTTCATACCTCATTATAGACTTCAAGGTTGAGAATTCTTTATGCCCGGATTGTTTTGACTTTTGTGCCAGATTTGGCATCTCATTTGTTGAACAATCACCGACTCTGGTATTTTACTTCTGACTTTAAATTTCAGGATGTTCACCAACTCCTGCAAGAGGATGAGGATTATGAAGGGTTCAGATGCAATTGGACTTGGTGAGCACAAGTAGACATGATTAATATACTGAATTGCTGTATCCACAACTATCTATTTGAACTTTTTTCAAAGTGGAATTTTTTAGCTTGCATGCTATAATTTTAGTGTATTTATTAAATTCTAACTTCTTTTGACTTTATTATAACCCACTGATCAAAACACGGGTGTTTTTTATCTTGCCCACTATCTTTGTTGTCAAGCTATGCTAGGTGGTGATGCACCGGCACTTATTCACTAAAAAGCAATATATATTTTCTCGACGGAACTGTCACTTGTCTTAGTCAATTTTGTTTTGCATCTATCGTAAACTTATATATGCCGGTGAAAACATGGGTTTTGGACTAACCAAAGCGTGGCTTTTTTTCGTTGCAGCTCCAAGGGCCATGGAGAAATGCAAGAACCGAATTAGGATCAGCTTCTGACCCTTAACTGAAATCAGAAGAGCCCTCCTTGAGACTGAAAGGGTTAACAAGATCACTTGGCTACTCTCTTACATCTACCATGTGCCATGGCTTTCTGCTTTATATGGACTAAGACTTCGTGCTAGCTTTCTAAGATTCCCTAGGGACATAAGCTCTGTAGTTTGTAAGATTGTGTATTCAGTACTTGCGCATGTCTCGTTATCACTGTCTGTCTAAACATTTGGCTTGCTGTCTGCAACTGTTATAGTTGAAGTTCCCTATTTGAAATTGTAGTTCACAAGGCCCTATTGTCTCTTGTCGTAATCCTAACAATCGAAGTCAAAGTTACCCAACCACGGCCACCTCTGGTCGGAACAAAACTATCAAAAGGCAGCTTTTTTTTGTGTACTTGTTCCCAAATCAATGTCAGTGAATGAATTGGATGCAATTGCCTGTTGCTCTTATCTGGTCAGTTTGATGTTCTTACTCTTCATAATCCACACACCTAGTTTCAGAACCTGCCACTTAACCTCAGATGGTGCAGATGATGCTGCTGCATGTCTCGGGTTGGAAACTTCTCAGGGATCTTAAAGACAACTTTGCAGTGCACTCGGGTCACTGTTCATCTGTAAGTCCTCATGACTGAACTCTCTGTTTCTGGACCTTCCAGTTTGGTGATCCTTCCATTCAGGCTTTTTTCTTCGCAGTACTACTAGACATGCATGGTGACCAGCTTTATAGGAGAGCTGTTTCTTCGTGGGGACCTGCATTCATTACCTTCTTGTCTAGGGTTGATGATATTGTCCATTGAATAATCCACAGGTTCTGAAACCATCATTCATCCAGAATATAATATGGCATAGTGGTGGTGGCGGTGGTTAATGAGGCTTTCTTCCTCCACCGGAATGATGCTCTGCTCCACTTTCGATGGCCATTTGAAGCATTGTAACGTGCTGTGTTGTATGCACATATTGTGCTCTGGCAAATTACATGAACTTCTCATTGCCTACCAGTAGGGTCCTCTGAAGCTTCTAAAACGAAGCTGCACATCAACCACACCAAATACTGGCATCCATTCGTAGCAGTCGACGTAGTTAAAAACACATTAGAGAAAGGATTCCACAGGTAGTTGAACCCAGACTAATTCCATGTCCCTGACAAAGCATGAACAGTGGGGATGGGAAGAAGAAAACGATGGTGTAACTGTAAGATGAAGCAAGGTGCAATGAACGGGGGAGAGAGCCAATGTGAGGGTGAGGGAACACCATTGATTGATTCTTACAGTGGCCACAAAGCGAACTAATGCTTTCCCTGTTGACCATACGGCGACCTTGTTTCAGAAACAGATGTTTGATCTGGTTCATTGCTTTGCCAAAAGATAAGCACGTGTTCCACCTTATTCATCATTGTCTGAGAACTGTAGAGAGACAGAGACAGAGATTAGGGAGAGTTCTTATCCTGACGACGAAGATTTGATGGTGTACAAAGGTGAATCTTTCTTCAGCGGCTTCAAGTTTCTTAAGCTGTAAAGGGAGAAGTCATCGTGAGCACTTGGGGATTCGCAGAGTAGCCATGATGGGGCACCTGCCAGCCGTCAGATCATATCAAATCAGGCCAGGGCCCAGTTGCCATCATGCTGTCGGATGATGCAGAAGGGGGGCGTTACTGTGGACGCATGACCCGACGTCAGATCCGCGCAGGGCGTACGTACATGTTGACGTGATGCGCGCATCATTACATTGCGTCCACAATTCCGGGTATTGATTCGGATTGGGTTCGACCACGACCTCCTTGGTCAAGTGGTTTGTCTAATCATAGCCCGAATTCAATTCGACCCAACCTGAGCCCAAACCCATAGAGCCCATTCTATAGAATCTAATCTTATATCGACCGTAATCCGACCCGGCATGATAAATCTAATCCTTATAAGTGCATGTAATATTATCTAGCGATGATGACATTTAATATGACATCTTGGATTAAATCATGCCTTCACTTTAATTTACCAGCCCCTATCTAACTGGGTTCGATCGATCGATCAAATTCAATGCAATCTGGCCCGTCTAAACCCAAATTATGACCCAATCTTTAATTATACGAGTTTAATTAGGCTCGCGATAGGCGGGTCGAGTCAAGTCAAACCACAGGCATATGTTACTAGCCCGAGCTGGACAACCCAATCCAACTTATTTCTTATCTAAAGTATATTAATGATTAATTTAAGCTGTATAAAGTATTAACTTTATACCATCTAGGGTTTATCTAACACTGAATCTATGCTACATTTTATATCCAATCCATATTCATTTTTCTAATTAGAATTTTTTAATAAAAACTTCATGTTTTTATTTTATTTTCATGCAGCATTCTATTTTGATTTATTCCTATAAAATATCCTTTATTTTCTAAAAAATAAGAATACCCTGATCTCCATTCATTATCGATCGTCATTGTTCTCGCACCCTCATTTACATCTTCACTTTTGCTTTGCTGCCTTCGCCTCTTATCGTTGTCGTCCTCCTTTGTTGCTAATACCATAGAAGTCTTGATCTTCAATATAACCATCGAAGAACCTTGATCCCTAGCCCACTTAATAACATTATTGTCATAATCCTTGCGTCAAACTCTTATTCCCACTAATCCCACATACATTCCATCATTTAGTCGTGAGGGTGCTTTTCTCGCCTTGTGTGCCCTTCTCTCCCTTTGTCATAAGTTTCACCCCTCCCATCGTCACCTTTTCATCATCTCTTCAACTGATCTCACCCTATCTCCTTGACCCCCCCATTATTGCTTATGCCTTATTGCCATCGCTCCCTTGCAACCTCTACTAATATGGTCTCTCCAACTTCATCTCTATCATCCTCGGTGATCACCTTCACGTCCTCAATAGTATGATGCTCGTTCTTATCTTCTCAGGTCATTTTATTACTTCGATCGTGTTTATCGCTTTGACAATATCGCTCCTTCGACACTCTCTTAAGACTGTCTCCGTATATACTTTTCCCCCATGAAACCTTTTATTTTTGATGCTCTATTTTAACAAGATGATAGATGAGGGCATGCAACAAAGAGTACACGAGAGGTGAGGCAACAAGAGAACGTAAGGAGGCAAAGGGTTCACTATCCTTTAGAAAATAAGCTACCTATGTAAAGTAAACAAATGGAAAAAAAATTGAAAGTTTTTGGACGAATTGACCCTTTTCAGTTAGTCGTAAGCAAAGAACAAATCAGGCTATCACATCACATCATAAATGCACAAGATTCTGAGAAGGCCGTCAAGTCAACGCACTGCTCTCCGCATGAGATGTCGAACGGCATGTGTTAATTTTGGGAGGCACGTTGTCTTCTACATGCGACTTTGTTTCACCCCATTCAAGGATCTGCGCCATGTAAAGTCAAACAACTCCAGGTGGGAGGATGGGCAGAACTCTCTCTCTCTCTAGATATATTGGCCAGAATGAAGAGCAAGAGAAGCACAGATTGGTTCCTACTGTTCCGATGCTACATGGCGCAAATATATTATGACCAGTTGCTTGACCTGCATTAAACTACATGACCATGCCATACTCGTTAGGCTTTAAAATAATAGCTGCAATAGCTTCATTGATCGTTCCATCAATAATTCGTCTATAATACACTTATGGAACCTTTTCTCATTTTTTTTTTGAGAGAAGTAAATCTATTTACTTGTGGAGCAAGAATCAAGTGTTTTTTCATGTTGCAAGCATCAGCTGATAAGATCAACTGACAGAACTTTGCTGTCATGAACAACCTTGGTGGCTTAAAGTCTTGCCTTGCGAGACAATTGAGGTTCATATGATCTCCTTCAAGATCAAGTTCATGTGTCTATTTCTTCTTCTATTCATTTGACTAAAGGTTTCCCCCCTCATTGCAGTAAAACAATAATCTTGAGGAGCCCATTTTGTCTGAATCCAACTTGGTATGATTCATGCCAAGCCTCATCACTCTAACTAAAGTTGCATGGAACTGTTTTGGCTTGTCCAGTGTATACACTTCCGTTGATGTGGCTATTTCTGTATCCTATGTAGCATCTGTGTTAGTACAGTACACCTATTCTGTCAGAAGCTCACCATTAACATCTCAAAGATTCTAACTATTCCTGATTACTACACTCCAGAAGATATTGCAAGCATGAGATTTACTTGATAATTATTTATACCGAGGTTAAGGCAAAGATCTTATGAAAGTTGGCGGCACATCGTTGTTAGATCTGCCATGCATGAGGCTTGTACACCCTTGGCAGTAGTTTCCGTAATGAGTTAGCTCATTAGGAACCTGGATAAGATCAGCAAGGTCTCAAGGTCTCAACAAAGATTGCATAAATATACGAGTATAATCTGGATTGGATATTATATGCTTCCTCTACAACCTTTTATATCTTCATGTCCAGTGTCTTCACTTTGCTGACATCTTCTGGTTTGAACAAGCATCCAATTTCTAGTTGACCAGATAAATTTGATCTGGCCATTAGTTGTTTCATTTATAGTTTAGTCATCTAGTGAATATATATAATGATGAGGCAATCTCTTATATTTCATACACGAGTCAAAGTTTAGCTATTAAATTGCCAATCTTTAAAAGAACATTGGTCAAACTTTGATTCTGTGTGAATGCATGCTTAAGATGGTGCTGCCAATGTCAGAATTGAAACCTTGACCCAAATGTCAATAAACTCAAGCTCCTAATAAAATTATATGCCATGCATACGTTGGGATCATAACCTCTCGAATATTTTCTGCTTTTAAGGTACCATCATCTCGGAAGAGGATCACAGTAAGCTATCAATGGTTGGCTGCCACAGAGGAACAACCTCCACACCATCATCTCTTTGCTTACTCGGCAAGGGAACCAAGCTTTTCTGCAACAAGACTTTAGGTGTCAATATGAGATAGAGTCGTAAGAAATCAAGCAGTCCTTCCGTTGTTGTGTTGTGTTGGTACTTTGAGGACCTACCACATGCATGGATGATTTGTATAAGGGTATTTATTTATTCCACGCTAGATGTTGTCTGCGTGATGAACACTACTCTGGATATGGTATATACGTCACTGAATTTGACTGTGAACACGTTGACTTCCTTAAAGAGGACATGACATGAAACCTCACCATGGTTGGATCCCATTTTTCATTGGGATGAAACAAGATTGAATAGAGATCGAACGAGACTTTATTGGGGAGAACAAAAGTAGTGTTCAAAGACAGCTCCATCAGGTGTTTTTTAGTTTCTCGGAATCTTAATCTAGCACAACCCCATAGATCGCTTCAGAAGCTATCTTATCGACTCATCTCATGGGGAAAAAGGGACTTTTCTTGATGTCTTTCTGAAGTTAGATTATGTCGAGTTAGATCTAAACCCTCAGAGATACAAAAATATAAGGTTGTGTTTCGCATTCTATTCCTCTACTTTGCCTTGTAATAATCTACTTACAGTGTGGCATGGATTTACAGTGTCAAAGAAGATCGAGTTGTATTCTGGCTGCAAGAAGGTTTAAATTCTTGTGTTTTCTTCTTTGTTTACTCGAAGACCTTAGCAACATCTTGCCATTGGTTGACTGCTGTGACTTATATCGAGCACAACTCTGATAGATCTGCCACGAGAAGTAAAATAGACCGGTCAATCTATCTAGTCTTTATTGCATCGATGCATCCTCGTAGAAGCCCTTCATGAAATCACTCGGTCTCAAACTTTCTTTATGAACCATGCAAAGCCACGAGGAGTAATAACCTAGTATGCAGCGTGAACAGTGTTGCTATTAGTTTATTATGGAGGATTTAGATTATAATTTGGAGCCTGAACAAATCTAATTCCCAACATATTATATAGGACTTCATGTGGGTATAATCTGGATTAGATATCATGTCTCCTCGCCAGCCTGCCATATCTTGTGTATCCACTTTCCTACTATTCTATGGTTTTCTCCATGCCCTTGTTTTCCCCACTTTCCTGCTCTCAAACCTTAAGTATGCTATATGTGATGGTATCAATGTCTTGCAGTAGTTTATGAGGCCTTTTTTTGTGAGTAAAGCGAACTTGGAATGATCTATCAGGCGTTGTTACGTGTGACAGCTGAACTCATCCAAGTACAATAAAAATCCTTTGTTTGACTCGAAATGTAGAATCTTGATTCAGTTTTCTTGTGAGACTTCCTATTGGTCAAAGATAATGCAACTCATATTGCCCCACATGAAATGAGTCGTGGAAGGAACTCCCAGCGAAACTTCTTGATGCTGTACTCATCGGGGAATGTGTCAATATTTTGCGTCTGAGTGCTCTTACAAGAGAGGAAAAAAAAAGAGGATCACTTGGAGCTCAACTTGTTTGTGGTTTCATCAGGCATGGATCTTATGATAAATCTTTTGCAAAGATTGTGGATTTTTGTTGATCTTTCAGTGACATAATCCTACAGGATCATCTTTGGCCACTCAAACATATGAATCTTGATTTTTATGTGCATGACTGGGCTCAAAGTAAGGATCAACTTTGGCATATCGTGCTTCTTGGGACTGCTGCATTCAAACTTTTCTACTAAAGAAAGGGAACGCAGCAGGAGAAAAATATATAGATATTACACTGAGATCTTCATTCAAGCAATGAGTTGATTGATTACCTTTGGGGCATCTTACGTTAATAGGAGACTTGAGTAGCTGTCTTTACGTCTCCCTTCCTCTCTCTCTCTCTCTCTCTATCTATCTATCTATCTATATCTATAAATACACTTCTGTTGTTCATAGGTTGGTGTTGAGTGGTGAAGTACTGATGGGAAGCAGGAACTATACACAGCAGCTGGGATTAGGAAGTGGGAGATCTGCTGGGTCCTCGAGGAGGGGAAAGAAGAACAATATGGAGAAGCCAAAACAGCCTCAAAGAGGCCTTGGTGTGGCTCAGTTGGAGAAGATCATATTACAGAATCAAATGATGGGAAGCTACCCTTCTCCATTGGACTGTGATCTCGAAAAGGTCTTCCTCGATGACAACTACCTCACTTTTCCCTGTCTAATGTTTGTTCCCTTGTCGAGTAGTTCCTTCATGCTTGTCTTCGAGCAGGTCGACAATGGTCAAGTGCAAATGGGATGTCCACCATCTCCCTCTTCGTCATCAGTTGCCACCCCATCATCTTCACTGTTCGATCTTCGCCCCAATTCAGTGGTATGCCAACCTTCGATAGAAAAAATGTAAAAGAAGACTAATTTCTGCACCCTCACTCCACAAATTCTACTTTCTTAGATCTTATGGGAAGATCGAATGGATCGGTTTGTTCTCTTTCAGATCGGCTTTGGAGACACCGCAGTGACGGCAACCAGATATAGTGCGTATCATTCTTTCTTTCATCAAGCAGTGAGACCGACTACAACACTGCCTCTCTTGGAGCCAAGCATGGAGGTGTGGCTTACATATCTAGCTGGACTCAGATCATTTATCTTCCTCTTCCATAAACATTTCGTAATCTTCTTGCTCTCTTGGAACTCAATGCAGACCAGCAGTTATCACGATGAGCAATGCAACTCCATTGGTTCAATCAGTCAGAACTCATGCGATTCCCAAGAACTCGATTTAGAGCTTAAATTATGACTGTCGGTGATTCAAGTGGTGCAATGTTTGCAATAGATTGATCGATAGATTGATACAGGTGGTGGTGGTTTATGGGATCGATGCCCAAACTGTCTCATTTCAGGTGAGGAATACATGTCAGTGTAAATCTCAAGTAATTAAAGATATTAAAGCGGTTGGGTCTTCATGGAAATGTTATCTAGAAGAAATATAGTGTTTTGAAGAAAATATTTCGAAAAAAATAGATGAATACATTCGAGTATAAAATAGTCATATACAGCTCACAAAATGATGTAGTTCTCTTCCTGTCCTATCCAATTCCTGAAGTCTGTTTTGGAACCCTAATTCTCAGTGTTGCATGACTGCTGAACAAATCAAACAAATGTGTTGTTCACTATATATTTGGATTACAATAATATTTTCATTTCGAAGCTTTACCATGCTGTATAAAAATCTATGATATTGGTGTTCACCAAAACATATGTTTCTAAGGAATTTAGACATTCATGAAGCATCAGCTAGAGTTGGCTGAACATTCTTAAACTGAGAAAATGCTTGTTCCTTTGATCTTTACATAGACTCCAACAGACAGGTAAATGTATGACAATCCAAAATATAGAACATCCTCCATGATTGAACTTTCATTGCACTTGGCTAAGAAACTGCAACTTTACAACCGATAGCAAAACATATGCAAATTACAAGTATATACAAAGACGATCCATGTACAAAGTGAAATCTGATGCAGATGCTTTGCAAGATTGGTCCAGCACTGGCACCGTTGAGTGAGAGGCACTCACTTGAGATGTAGATACAGCACTAAACTCATTCATGGCCATTGATTGCTCTGTCTCTATGGCAAAACCTATATTGTCAACAAAGCCCTGCAGAACAATATGATCCTTCATTCTCAAGCCCCTCTATGACAAGCTAGTAAATGTATCGTGATGTTACTGATTTATGCAGACAAGGAAAGTTGTTAACCGTGAAGTTAATACTAAAACATCAAACAAGTTAGTCTGGACATGATAAGATGTTATTTCTGTAGACTTCAGTAAAGTTGGTGCAACAAATTACCTTGAATTCAGCATTCCCTTGTTTGCGGAGAAGCTCCATACTAAGTGCCATGAACATAGCTAAGGATCGAACATTTCCTCCCAAAAAATGACAAGCTGATCTAGAAATAACCTTAGCTTTTAGGGAGAAGTACGGTGATTAAAGTCGACACAAGGGCTATGGTGTTGAGGCCCTTTCCAAAAGCTCAAACTTATAATAATCAGGATCTTTGATAAAAACAATCACTGTTTTGCCACCTTTTACAAAGTCAGTATCCCTCATTGCTGTTCCTCTGGCCTCTATAAGATCCACTGTCTTGGCAAACCTGTTCCCATGAAACAAGAAATTATCATTAAGGTAATATGACACTATTCAGACAGATACTGTGGCATGTATATTGGTCAGAACACATTTTCAAATTGAAGCTTTTGTGCAGAAACCTTGTCATTCAGAAAAGAGGGCCTCAGTGCTACACCATGGTTTGGTTTGCATGTTTATAATTCTTGCATACCGTAGGAAAACAAGTATTAAAATAGTCTGTCCATCAACATATAGTAAATTGCATGGTTAAAGCATTAGCTCATGTCAGAAATGGAAAACAAATATTTTAACATGAAATAAATTATGTTCCAGCAATATATTCTAGTATCCTTTTTGACCCACTCTAAGGTGTCTCATCTTCACCAACAGTGGTACTTAATTGTGCCATGTTGCTGGTAAAACTGACCTTTATACTAGTTGCTTTTCTCATCAATCTTGGTGCCTTTATCCCAAAAAACTGATCCTGATGTATAGGTGAATGATACCAGAACAATAGAATTTACTACGGACGAAGACAGGAAATAGCATGGAAGCACAGAGAATGTAATATCTGCTCCAGTATTAACAGACATCAAATTCAAGTTGATGCTGATGATGGTGCAAAAAAAAGTATTAGTTCTGGTGACATATATGACCTAACGTTAGGTCCCGTAGAACCCATTCAATTAAGCAAAGAGGCTCAGTAAAACCCAATAAGAAGACAGAAGCAGCACAATTAAGTGCTGAATTTAACAACGATCACTTGCTTCAAAGAAACAGTCCATCACATACAGACTTGTGATCAAAGAGCAAGGACCAGCATTCTCAACCCAGCGGTGGTGATTTCTGCTAAAGACACCAACCTACCGCAGAAAGATGTAATCTTGAGTTGAAATCTCTATTTCGGCGTGCATTACCAAACAAATACTGCATGCAGTGTGTGAATTCAGTAATTAAAAAGATAAATTGCGGCACTTCAAAGAAAGTCAGCGAATGACAGACCGTTACCCAAAAATACAGTAAGAACGCCCGATTTAATACCATCTTCCAGCCCAGCAATAATGCACACGCTTCTTTAGGAAAAAGATGCAATCTTGAAGCGAAACTAATGGCCGAGATTAAGTAGTTCACCAGGCACACGAGCAATCGGAAGTCTCCAAGTGATCAAGAAAGATGCGGAATAGAGAGCTAGGGTTTTAGGAAATCACAGAACTCAGAGCTCACCGCAGCCACGACCGCAGGGAGGAGAGGGCCCACGGAGAGGAACAGAGCAGAGGCCAGCACCGGGTGGACGGGGGGACGGCGGAGGAGGAGTAGGAGGGGAATGGCGAGCGGAGGCCGGCTAGTTCGATGGAGGCTGCGGCGGCGGCGGCAGCCTTGGGGAGAATCCTCGCCATCCGCCGGTTTCTCAGCTCCAATCCTCTCAGTGCGGCCACAGACACGTGACCTCCACGTGCTTTCCCCCCCTCATGATCTCCACCATACTAATAAAAAAAGCTTATTCTTTAATTATTTTAACATTATGAACCTAACCCGAGTCTCTTTTACCAATTTAATCTGATCGGGCTCGAACTAGCCAGGCCTAAATGGTGAGGTTGGACCAGATCAAAATTGTGCGGTCCAAATTAACAGCCAGTTTAAATGACACCTTAAATTGGGTTGAAATCAGGTCTTAAATCGACCGTCAAATCGGCCTTGCCGCGTCCCCAATCCGTTCCTGCTTGCCCTCTCCATGCTCCGAACGCCGACCCTTGAAAAGGAAGCACGGAAGAGAGCAATAGAACACAATGCCACCACCCAGCCTTAGGCTCCTCTTCCCATCCTCCTCCCCCCTCTCTAAAAGCTCCTTCCTTGGGTACTCTTTATCCCGTTCCCTCTTCTGCATTCCCAGGCCGCCCCTAACCCCCCGTTCCCCTCTCACTGCCCTCTGCTACTCCGGTGCGAGGCGTAGAAGGCCCACCGGCGGCGGCGGCGGCGGAAGAAAGACCTCTGGCGGTGGAGGTAGCCGTGGTGGAGGTGTTTTCCATCAGAGGCGTCGGGCAAGCACGCTAAGGGAAGAAAGAGACCGGGCGAGAGCGCCTGAGATGGAGGGGAAGGAAGAAACTTTAGGGTTTAACAAAAGAAGGGCGGAAGGGCGGGACAAGAGCGACAAACCGAAGGCTCTTCAACTCAAGACCCGGAAGCTGAATCCTGTTAACACAATATGTTATGTTCAGGTAAAAGGATTTGATTTTTCTTTTCTTTTCTTGTTTATGGGTTTGACTTTGATTTGTTCATGAGTTTTTGAACAGAGGATATCGTAAATGTTACTCTCTGGTGTACTTCTTGTGTGGCAGAAAATATATATATTTCTGTATTGTTTTGGCAATTCTTGAAAGCCGAGTTTTTGAAACATTTACTTTTCTGTACTATTGATTGTTCGAGGGACTGGTGGCAATACAATTCAAGAAACAAGTTGCTTGGTTGTCATTCTCTTTCATTTAGATAGTTGAATGAAGAAGTTAGATGTCTGGGTTTTTGTCGTGGATTGTGGGAAGGATGGCACAAGAGCACCGGAGTCAAATCGGACCACGTGACCAATCTTCATTGCTATTTCTCTTTCTCTAATCATTATCCATATGACCAACAATTTTTTAGTTAGAGATCAAAGCAAACGGTATTAGCCTATGCTAAGTCACCTAGTCAAATCAAATCAGGTGATACTAACCTAATTGGATTAGGATCTTCCTCCAAGTTATAGTTGAGTATGAGAATGATGTGATTGCTTAAATGGGCAGCTTTCTTTTGTTCTTAGGGATTTTTCTTTTTCTTCCCTTTTCTAGTGCTATTGCATGGATGATTCGAGTTTTGATCTGTTATTGTCGTTGTCAGACAATGCTATATTTTTGGGCTATTATATGTTGTTGATTTTGTTACATTGAGATATTCATACATTTGTTCATGTTTTAGGGATTGAAAGTTCTTTAATTTTAAAATTTCCCTAGATATTGCCATTATGGATTTCTGGAACCTGATTGACAACTCGGCATGCCTTTTTCTCCCTCACTTTTGGATTTTGTTTCGTAGATTTTGGGAACTGGGATGGACACACAGGATACATCGCCATCAGTTTTGCTGTTCTTTGATAAGCAGAGATTCATCTTTAATGCTGGTGAGGTATGGTTGACAAAAGTGTGATGTTCAAAATTTACTTAAAACTTATCTTTACCTCTAGTTTAAGAGATTTTTTTTCTATGTTGATGTTGAATCTTATAAATAATTATTGGATTCAGAAGAAATATGTTGAACCTTTCATGATTGTATGCAATTTAGAAGTAATACATTATTTTCAAATGGAATACAAAGATTGCTACATACTTTCAAGTCATATTTTGAAAAGGTGGGCCTTGGTGTTATGCTAAGGTTGTTCCTTTATTATTTAAGTTATAGTGTTTGATTCATGAAAACAATTTCTCTAACTGCAGAGTAAGACTGCAAATGGAAAAAAAGGGACTCTTCCTAAGGCCAGCAATGGTGGGATCCCTGTGCACCGTGGCACCTTCTTTTTGTACTTTAAAGTCGCATTTTGTATGCTAACTTATCAAAGTAGAGACATATTGGTAGTTCTGCAGACTAGATGCAATTTTCTCCCCTTCTATATAATCTGACTTGTCTAGGATACCATTATGAGACATTGGTTTGCTTTCTTAATGATATTTCAACTCCTGTGCTTAAAATATTTGATGTCCTCATGTATCGGTGTGTTGGATAAAACTTTACAATTTTAAATGCAAGTTTTTAGTCAAATTTTACTGAGAAAAGGCTTTACAAAGTTGTTCTGGATATCAGTGTTTCTTAGATGTATCCTAACTAACAAATAGTGTTAGAACTGTAACTGTATGTTATGATGACAGAAATAAGTGGCATATGATATTCATGTAGCATATCGTTTGCAGGACTTATCAATCACAATTACCTTCATTTTTTTTATCTTTTTTTTGCTTGAGATATTATTTTCTGTCCTTTTTTTTAATGAAAAGGGAAACTGTTTCTTAGATGAGCTGCTCATAACTAAATTCTCCTGTATATCTGGACTATTTTTTTGCTATTTTTTTAATTTGACTTATTCAGAATCAAATATGTATGGTTATCAGGGATTACAGAGATTCTGCACGGAGCACAAGATAAAGTTATCAAAGGTATGAAATGTTCATGATAGTTGGCTTATGTTGCTGTTTGAAACATGTAACTTATACATGATTAATTATACTAGTTTTCCTTCCTTTTATCCACATCTTTTATTTCTGTTGCCTGATTTTCTTTTGGCTCTTTTTCCTTATTCATCTGGATAATTTTGTTTTTTTTATCTTGAGATTGTTAATAACTTAAAACTTAAGATAAATAAATTAGTACATCCAAATATTTCACTTATGGTTATAGCAGTGTGTTACTGTGTTCTGCATTTTTCTGATTGGATTCCATCTTTACCCAGATAGATCACATTTTTCTTACACGTGTCTGCTCAGAAACTGCAGGGGGACTTCCAGGTAAAGGATTGATTATTTGGAGTTGTTGTTAAATTTTTTCATTTTCTGAGAGGTCATTAAGAAGAAATTCTGTGAATGAATGGATTATAACTGAAAAATTCAAGTAGCAGATCATCTAGGGACAGAATCTAAGACTGAAAGTTTGTTTTCCCTAATCCTATATACAGGTCTTCTGCTCACTTTAGCAGGGATTGGAGAAGAAGGAATGTCGGTGAGCAGTTCATTTCCAATTTCTCCATTAATTTTGTTACACTGTTAAATGATTCATTTAGTTTCATGGCAACAACTCCAATTTTTTCTGTTCTTAGCAACTATTTTCTTGTGTGTGCAAATTTGTATAGGTCAACATATGGGGGCCCTCTGATCTTAACTATCTAGTTGATGCAATGCGTTCATTCATACCAAATGCTGCGATGGTTCATGCACATAGCTTTGGAGTGACAGTGAATGGTGATGGAACTATGCTCTCAAGTTCTCAGTTTGGCAAGTTTCGAGATCCAATTACTATAATTGACGATGAGGTTGTCTGTATATCTTCCATACCCTTAAATCCAAACTATTCCAATGGTATGATGTATAACTAGGTGTTCTAGATTTGGTTTCCTCGGTTATTGAAGAAAATTGTACATTAGTTTTCAAATTTTTATACCCATGTTTACAAAATTTTCAAAATAAATAGGATCAATTCCGAAGCCTGGTGACATTGCTGTGATTTATGCGTGCGAATTACCTGAAATAAAGGGAAAATTTGATCCTGTTAAAGCTGCAGCTCTTGGGCTGAAACCTGGGCCAAAATATCGTGAATTGCAACTTGGGAACTCAGTCATGTCAGATCGCCTCAACATTACGGTTTGGCCTTATTGAACTTGAGCATTTGTAGCAAAATTTTGTATCTGATCAACTAAATGTACCTTGGTTTTACTTGTGTCTTAGATTTTTGCCTTCCTTTACATGATTCTGTAGATAACTCTTTCTTCTTTGCCTTGCAATATTATTGAATACACTAATTAATCTTCCTGAGAAGACCAATATTTGTTTGTTCCATTTTGCTTTTGACCTTGTCTTTATGTCAATTATACATGCTTTATGTATATAGGGTGTAAAGCTTTTCTTAAATTTCTTGTGTAGGTTCATCCAAGTGATGTTCTTGGCGCATCATCCCCTGGTCCTATTATACTTCTGGTGGATTGCCCCACAAAGTTTCATATGGCTGAACTACTGTCAGCAGAATCGCTTAATTGTTACTATAGAGATTCTGACCATCAGCCAAAAGAGAATACTAAAACCGTGAATTGTGTGATTCACCTGGGTCCAGCTATTGTGACAAAAAGTGCAGACTATCAAAAATGGATGAAAAGATTCAGCACTGCACAACACATCATGGCAGGGCATGAAATGTAAGATATGGTTTTGTGAATAGCTTTTCTTAAGAACATTCACTTGCAAACATACTCATCAATAGGCTTAATACAAGATAGTGTGTTGTACTAAGAAACAGTTCTCTGTGTTGTTAATCCTGCCTTAGTGCCCTCTGGCTATATGATGATTGGGAACAAAATGATTACGAGACTATGTAAACTTAGTGGTGAAAAATGGAGCAAGAACAATATTTTGATGGCTCTAACAATGACCACTAAGCCCTCTCTTAACTGTCAATGATTTTGATCTTATTAGCAAATTACTTATGAGTTTCCATTGTTTTTTTAAAAAATCATCTCCGGTCCTCAATTTTACCTTGACATAGATGAACAACAAACTTAAATATTCTCTTTATTTGTTTGTAGCCAATGCTAGTAATATCTAGACACGAAGATTTATCCAGGAACGAGTTTGACAACAAAGCTAATTATGTAGTTTGATGAGGCCAACTTTTGGCATTTATATCATGATATTATATTTGAAATATCTTGTTATTGGCACCATTGAGTCCCTTTCCATGTATGACATTGTCCTCTATACAATGACATTAATATTTGAAAGATGCCATTTCTTGTCAGGGTTGTTAGGCTTATGACATGCATGCCTGACCAATGATTATATAGATTATAGAGTATGCAATGGGTTGATGATATGTAAATAGCTTGCATCAGTATAACATCCTCCAATCTCTTTTTTTATAATCCTAAAAGCAAATTTGAGGATGCAGGATGTAGCTAAGCTGCATAAACCGATTATTGTACATAATTTTTTGCCATGATGAAATCATTGGTACTAAATACTCTGTGTTGTCTATGTGACTAGCCTTACACTTTTCAATTGGCATCTCCATAGTTTGAACTTTTCAGTTGCACATCAAATATTTTCTTAGATAATTGTGAGCTTTGCGTTTATTTTTCCAATTTTGCATTTCTTAACATCTTAGACTTGAAGGGTTAACAATTGGTTGCATGGATTTATTTGGTTCTAACTATCAAATATTTTATTATTCCTCTACAGAAGAAATATGGAAATTCCTATCTTGAAATCTAGTGCACGAATTTCATCACAGCTCAACTATTTATGCCCTCAACTCTTTCCAGCTCGTGGATGTTGGTCTTCTCAGCAGACAAATGACCTATCTTTGGAATCCAATGAACTATGTGAGGTATATTTAGAATATATTAGTACAAATTGTCCTCCCAGGTTTCAGTTTTTTGTTACTTTTAACTTTTTCAGATTTGAATTGCGGGTTTTCATTACCAGGATTCTTCTTCAACACTATGTGAAATCATTCAAGCTGAAAATCTTCTTAAGGTATGGAGTAGTTTGCGTCTATGAATAATTATCAACCTAGATTATCATTTTTCAATCTGCATATATAGCATCTGGAGGGAAGTCGTTTGAATCCAAAAATAACTACTTTCACATTGGTTTATGGTCATCAGCAAAGCTAGAGGAAGCACAGTAGCAATGATTTTAAGGACTTGATTTTTCATGCAGAGAATAGATTAGAATTTAGATTGAGTGCCAAAAATATGGATTCTGTTGGTTGTTAGAATAAAGATGCATTTATAAGAGGACGTTTCTCTGGAGAAATCAGATGTGATTTATTTTTACCAGAATTTAGAGAAGTTGTGAATAACATCTTTCCTATTGGCTTGTCTTTAAGATTCTGACTCTTGGTGTCATTGTTTAAAGAGTATACTAAATTCTTGGAAAAGAAAATTCCTTAAATAGGCATGTTTATGGTTTACAATTGGATGGGTCCTCTCTTTGTAATTGAATGCATTATCTTTGTCATCATTCAATACTTTTTCATATTGACTATTGGGCAAAATGGACATGTGAGATTGAAAAGCCCTTCTGATGTACTACAAGTCGAGAAAAACCAGCATCTATGTTTTTCTTGGATTTCATCTTCATGTTTCATTTGTTAGACTTCCAAACATTTTCAATATACATAATTATATAGTTACTGGAAATTCTATAGTTCTATTGGGTGAAAAAAGAGGGATGAGGAAGAAGTCAAAAGAATGGCAAGTGGTAACATGGGCACAACTCCTAGTTGACCTTTATGTACTTTTAACAATATATATTTATTTATTGTTTAGCTTGAAACAATGCTACTTTTCCTATGGTTTATACTGCAATATATCTTAATTGATTGCTAGCAGTTCTGTTTCTTTTTATGCTTTCAAGAAAATCTAAGTTGCTAATGTCAAAGTTGTGATTATGGCATTCTCATTAAATTTTTATTTGTTGGTAAGTATGCTTCCCTAGCTGAAATCAGCTGTCATTGTTTTTTATGACTCCATGGTATCTTTGGCTACCCATATATGTCTAGTCTTTTGTATTGGATAGATCTTCCGCAAGGTGCAAAATTGCAATAGATGCCTCACCATTCATTTATATTTTTTTATGTGTTAGCTAAATGCATCTAAAGGCTTCTGATTGCTATCAGATAATTGTAGGTGCATTGAAGCCACGTGTTGATACCAAGACCATTAAAGCTACCTTTTTTGTTTTTTTTTGTCCCACTTTCACATATCTGTTGAATGTTGGTTCCTAATTTTAGGTATCCTTGATAATTGATATGACTTACTTCTGGATGTATCTTTTTAAATTAATTATCTTAAAAATAATTGATAGGTGATATATGATGATGCATTTGTGAGGAATATTATTGTTGTTCTTAAGATATGTAGTGCTTTTTTTTCCTCTAAATTTTCTGCGTTTCCAGCCACTTTTAAGTGTTAAGATTTTGCATTTCTTTACACTGTCAGCAAGTTTAAGAATTTTACAGTATATAAATTACAGGAAAGATAATCTTTATCAATTATATAATATTGTAACATATCTTTTTCATTTGTTTCTCAGTTTCATTTGCGTCCATACTCTCAACTAGGTTTGGACAGGTCTGCTATTCCAGACTCCCTCAATCATGAGGAGGTTATTGCAAACCTTCTCTCTGAAATCCCTGAAATAGCAGATGTTTCTAAGAATGTCAACCAGTTTCAGCAAAGTTCTGCTGAAGTTAAACTATCTAAGTCTGAAAAGGATGACAATTGTATCATGGTGGAAGAACCGTGGTTAAGTGCAAGTTCTTCTGTTAATAATGTTCATGCAGAAAAAGAAGGGAGAGATTCATCTGAAGAGGATATTCCTTGTTTGAATGATAGATGGAATGATAATCTTAAAGATGAACATGATATTCCTGCTTGCTTGGAGAACATATCAAGGGAAGACATGGAGATAGTCCTTCTGGGTACTGGTTCATCACAACCATCCAAATACCGTAATGTCAGTTCTATATTTGTTAATCTTTTCTCCAAGGGAAGTTTACTTCTTGATTGTGGTGAAGGAACTCTAGGACAGCTGAAAAGAAGGTGGGTTCAATAATTTTTTATGCTTGCAATTTAATGTTGTTTTTATAGTTTTTGAGAGTGGAGATTGTTTTATCCTATTTGTATTTCAGATTTGGCATAAAAGGGGCTGATGATGCTGTCAAAGGTTTGAAGTGCATATGGATTTCCCATATCCATGCAGACCATCATACTGGCCTAGCCAGAATACTAGCTCTCCGGTGTCAGTTGCTGAAGGATATACCCCACAAACCTTTACTCGTGATTGGGCCAAGACCATTGAAGAGATTTCTTGATGCATATTCTAAACTTGAGGATCTTGATATGCAGTTCTTGGATTGTAGGCACACTTTAGAGGCATCGATGGATGATTTTCATGGTTCTCTTGATTCTAGAGGTCAATTTCCTGAAAATTCAGATAGAGAGGGTTCAGAAGCAGAGAATATTGCATCACGTCGTGTTGAATCTAGTTTATTCGCTCCACAGAGTAAAATGCAGAGCTATTGGAAGAGACCTGGGAGTCCAGTTGATACTGCTGTTGCTCTGCCAGTTTTAATGAGATTGAAGGAACTGCTCTCCGAAGCAGGTCTCGAATTTTTATACAGTGTCCCTGTTGTACACTGCCCACAGGCATTTGGTGTTGTTTTAAAGGCTGCAGAGAGGCCTAATAGTTTGGGAAAAACTATTCCAGGGTGGAAGCTTGTCTATTCGGGTGATACTAGGCCTTGTCAGGCACTGATAAATGCATCTCGTGATGCAACACTTCTGATTCATGAGGTAAGCATGCAAAGATTATGGATATTCTTGCTCGCCTCTTGGTGGATCAACAACATGCATTCCTGGTTGCTTAATTATTACGGTCATTTGGCTCATAATTCTTTAAGAATCATATATTTAAATAAACTATTTGTGAGATTTCAATATGCAAATTGCAATTACAGCGATAAGAAATAGTAGTAGCTAGACAGATTTTCTTATGGGCATCATTTTTTTTCACACAACTTATGTTTGCTAGATAAAGAAATAGTAGAAATTACGTGCTTATGTTTGCTCGAAAATCATAGACTTGTAGGATTTAGAAAAAATATATTCCAGCATGATGATCAATCTTTCTTTGAAGTATATGCTTCTTCGATTATGATGACAAGAAGCCTATCCACTATGTCTAAATCCACATGTAAGATTTGTAATTTATCTTTTTACAATCTGTGCTCATGCCCAGTGCCCATATAGCAACTTGTCTGTTTTATGCATGTAGTTACCTGATAGTTTGCAGCCTTTTATCACTTGTGCATGACAAATTACATCTCCGCTACTTTATTGGTCCATGACTGATTCTTGTTATCATATTTGTTTAATCAATCTTTCGTGACCAATAATCAATCTCAAAACTTACTTTTATTGATTATATTTCTGAATTTAGGATATCCTACATCATAATCCAGTTTTTGTCACCATTATTGTCATTATCATATCCATATTTCTCAACAGAATTACTTTCCCAATACTTATTATACTCTATTGCTACAGGCAACATTTGAGGACACCATGGAAGATGAAGCGATTGCAAAGAACCATAGCACAACAAAGGAAGCGGTTGGAGTTGGCAAATCAGCGGGTGCATTTCGTGTTGTCTTGACCCATTTTAGCCAGAGATATCCAAAAATTCCCGTGTTCAATGAGGCCGACATGCAGAGAACTTGTATTGCTTTTGACTTGATGACTGTCAACCTCGCAGATCTACCCATGCTTCCAAAGTTCCTTCCTTACCTCAAAGTACTATTTAGAAATGAAATGGTGGGTGATGAATCCGATGATGTTCATGAGTCTTTCATTTATTAAAGACTTTTGTAAGTTTATGCTGGCCTCATTTATTTTATATAGGCTTATTTATGCAATTTGATTTGCATGTTTCCCATTTTCTAGAGCCACAGCATTGTCTTCAGTTTCGTATTCTTGCAAGGGAAACAGCTAAAATATTTTTAATGATAAAAGCAGCAGAAGTTTGATCATGGTATGTGTTTTCCCCTATCTTAATATTGCATTGTAGCTTCCGTTCCTTTTATGTGCAAATGGGAATGCATGTTTTCACGGAACTTTGGTGAACGGTTGCTTCTGAGCAGAAATAATATAAAAATTGAAGGCTTTTAGTTTGTTAAAATAGTTGGGAAATGTGTGGTAGGAGGAGATTTTGAGATTGTATACAAATGAGATTGTAGTATCCAACATAGTGATCGTTCCAAAATGATGCAAATGGTCTCAATTATTATCCAAAAAAAATGTCAAAATTATATTCATATAAAAAAAGAAAAAGTGATTAATTTGTTAAAAAAAAAATTTATGTAGTGGATTTATTAAGGAGTCAGAAAGAAAAATTTTAAAAATATTACAAATCATTATGTTTTATCACATGAATATATTAAAAAAATTACATCTTTTATCACATGAATATATTAATTGTGAGGATGGTAAGGATTCATATGTTTATGGACTAAAACTACAATTAAACATATAATTTTAACTCAGTGAAACCTGAATTATTTTATTCTTGTTAAATATAACTATCCAGATTTTATTGATATATTATTTATATCAATAAAATTTAGGTAGAAAATATTTTGATGGTAGAATTTTTTATTTTTACTTTAGAAACAATATTGATATTGAGGATCCGATCTTGATATTGGTACCAAAATTAATAAAATATTAAGATATCATTTTTTTCATGCGTATAAGATAAAATTATGGATCATATCAATCAAATTACTTCTTTCTAATATTTATTATAAAAATATATTAGTCAAAATAAAAAAATAGACTTCATTAAAATAAAATTTAAAATTTTTAATTAAGAAAACAAGGGTCAATTAAATTTTATATCAGATTTATGAAAACAAAATCAAAAGAAATTTTTTGAAGAGGATTACATGAGATCAAATATTAAAAAAATAAGGAAAAAATGAAAAAGATATTTCTTTTTTTAATTAAGATGAGATGACTTCCAAAAATTGTCATATATATATATATATATATATAATATATATATATATATATATATATATATATATTCTTATTCTTGAAAATATTCTATCCATCTCCTAAACGTTGTAGAGAATGAGAATTCTAATTAGTTTTAACTATCTATGTGTCTTATCTGATTGCTATTTCTGCACGTCCCGCTATTTCCTCTTCGCCACTGCACAACTCAGGTGATCGACGCATTTCCCTCGTCGCCATTGCTCAGCCCATTTCATCATCCGACACCCTTTCCTCTAACACTCTCATGCAAAGAAGACTTGCGAAGAAGGTAGATAAAGCGCTCCATCGATGCTTCTTCTATAGAGAGAGAAATGTCGTCGCCGACTAAGAAAACACCGATCAAGTTCGCCCGGCGTACGTCGAGCGGCCGCGTCGTCAGCCTCTCGCGTGACGACGACATCGACCTGGGCGTCTCCGGCGAGTTCACCTCCGCCTCCTCTGGTGGGCCCAATGACTACATGAACTACACCGTCCTCATGCCCCCCACCCCGGACAACCAGCCGTACGCCGCCCCTTCAGGCTCCTCCGGCTCCCGGCCCGACGACCTTCCGCCGCCGGCCTACGGCACCACCACGAGGCGCGTGGGCCGGCGAGGCGGCGGCCAAGGCGAGGAGGGCGGTGGCGGCGGCGGCGCGGGAGAAGATGCGGCGGGGAAGTTGGACCGTAGGATGTCGGTAATGAAGTCGAACAAGTCGATGCTGATGAGGAGCCAGACGGGGGATTTCGACCACAACAGGTGGCTGTTCGAGACGAAGGGGACGTATGGCATCGGGAACGCCTTCTGGCCCAAGGACGAGGTAGAGTACGACGACGACGGGGTCGCGATGAGCATGTCAGATTTCCTGGAGAAGCCGTGGAAGCCATTGACGAGGAAGGTGAAGATCTCTCCCGGCATTCTCAGCCCCTACAGGTAACCCTACCTACATACACGTAGTATCAGCCTTCGCCTTCATGTCTTGGAGATGATATGATTGCGTGCGTGCGTGCGTGCGTGCAGGCTTCTGGTGCTGATACGGCTGGTGTTTCTGTCTCTGTTCCTGACATGGCGAGTACGCAACCCGAACCAGGACGCCATGTGGCTGTGGGGCTTATCCATCGTCTGCGAGATCTGGTTCGCCTTCTCATGGCTGCTGGATCAGATGCCCAAGCTCAATCCCATCAACCGCGCCGTCGACCTCGTCGCCCTCCGCGAGAAGTTCGAGAGCCCCACCCCCGACAACCCCCTCGGCCGCTCCGACCTCCCCGGCCTCGACGTTTTGATCTCCACCGCCGACCCCGAGAAGGAGCCGCCCCTCGTCACCGCCAACACCATCCTCTCCATCCTCGCCACCGAGTACCCCGTCGAGAAGCTCTTCGTCTACATCTCCGACGACGGCGCTGCCGTGCTCACCTTCGAGGCCATGTCCGAGGCCGCCGCCTTTGCTCGCGTCTGGGTCCCCTTCTGCCGCAAGCACAACATCGAGCCGCGCAACCCGGACAGCTACTTCGCCATCAAGGGCGACCCTACGCGCAACAAGAAGTGCCCCGACTTCGTCAAGGACCGCCGCTGGATCAAGCGCGAGTATGACGAGTTCAAAGTCCGCATCAACGGCCTGCCTGACGCCATCCGCCGCCGCTCTGCGGCGCTCAACGCCCGCGAGGAGATGCGCGAACGCAAGCTGGCCCGCGAGCGCAGCGGCGGCGATTCCAACGCCTCCAAGGCCTCCGAAGCGAAGCCCGCCGTCAAGGCCACTTGGATGGCGGACGCCACGCACTGGCCGGGCACCTGGGCGGTGCCGTCACCGGACCACTCCAAGGGCGACCATGCCGGGATCATCCAGGTGATGATCAAGAACCCTCACCACGAGCCACTCTACGGCGCGCCCGGCGACCATCCCTACCTGGACTTCACTGGCATCGACACCCGCCTTCCCATGTTCGTGTACGTGTCCCGCGAGAAGCGTCCCGGTTACGACCACAACAAGAAGGCGGGCGCCATGAACGCCATGGTGCGCGCCTCCGCCATCCTCTCGAACGGCCCCTTCATCCTCAACTTCGACTGCGACCACTACATCTACAACTCGCTGGCCATCCGGGAGGGAATGTGCTACATGATGGACCGCGGCGGCGACCGCATCTGCTACGTCCAGTTCCCGCAACGCTTCGAGGGCATCGATCCCTCCGACCGCTACGCCAACCACAACACCGTCTTTTTCGACGGCAACATGCGCGCCCTCGACGGGCTCCAGGGTCCCATGTACGTCGGCACCGGGTGCCTCTTCCGCCGCTACGCGGTCTACGGCTTCAACCCCCCGCGCGCCAACGAGTATTTGGGCCTCTACGGCCAGCACAAGCGCCCGGCCTCGACGCGCGGGCCGCCGCCCAACGTGGGCGGCATGGACGAGGCCGACCCCACCGCCTCCCCGGAGGCCATGCACCCGGACCTCTGCACGCCCGTGAAGTTCGGCAACTCCAAGATGTTCACCGACTCGATCGCGGTGGCCGAGTTCCAGGGCCGGCCCCTGGCCGACCACCCGGGGATCAAGAATGGCCGCCCGCCCGGGGCACTGTTAACGCCCCGTCCGCCCCTCGATGCGCCCACCGTCGCCGAGGCCGTGTCTGTCATCTCTTGCTGGTAATGTATATATTTGTGAATCTGATATCCTCCAAGACTGCACTTGCTCCTCTTGGTTAAACGTTTTTGGCTGGCAACAAAACCAAGGTACGAGGACAAGACGGAATGGGGGCAGCGGGTGGGGTGGATCTACGGGTCAGTGACGGAGGACGTGGTGACAGGATACCGGATGCACAACCGGGGGTGGCGCTCTGTTTACTGCATCACCAAGCGGGACGCCTTCCGGGGAACGGCGCCCATCAACCTGACGGACCGGCTGCACCAGGTGCTGCGCTGGGCCACCGGCTCCGTGGAGATCTTCTTCTCTCGCAACAACGCCTTCCTGGCCTGCTCCCGCCTCAAGTTCCTGCAGCGTATCGCCTACCTCAACGTCGGCA